ATCTTTTCTCTTTTATTTCTTATACGAGGCAGACCACTTGTTTTTCCAGTGCCCTGCTATTTACGGTATCTATAAGTGTGTCTATGAGACTCCTTCCTTCAGTGTTTAATTGACTGAGGTGGAGGCATCTAATTGTTATATGTGAAGGACATCATTTTATTCTGAGTCTTATTCTGTTTTTTTCCTAAGGCTCTTCCCAAGCATTGGAAGTCTAACAATGAGGCTGTTTACCCTCTTTCTGCCTTAAAATCTTTCACAGAAAGTGGAGAGAGAGACGGGGTCACATCTCTTTCAGAATCTACTTCTGAATGATATCTATAGGTGTTAGTCTGTCCTTGAAGTCTGCAGTGGATTTGTCCTTTGTTTACAGAACTGAGTTAGAGCCCAATCTGTGTTCACAGAAAACACTTTGTTGACAGCCTCTGAAAGGCCTTTTGGCTTCTGAAAGGCCTCTTCTGGTTTCCTATGCAATTCATGAAGTTCAGGACACACTACCCCAAAATATGGCACCTTGGCATTTTGAATGTTTTTGTGTGTATGTGAAGAAGATCAGCCCTGAGCTAACATCTGATGCCAATCCTCCTCTTTTTGCTGAGGAAGACTAGCCCTGGGCTAACATCCATGCCCATCTTCCTCCACTTTATATGGGACGCCGCCACAGCATGCTTGACAAGTGGTGCATTGGTGTGCACCCGGTGTCCGAACCCTGGGCCGCTACGCCACCAGGCTGGCCCCCATTTTGAATATTTTAAGCTGAAGGAGTTTGAGAAAACAGCAGGAACAGGAAGATAATTCTGACCTCCTCCCTGCTTCGGCCTTCTTCCCTGAGACATTATAAAAGCCTCATGTGAGCGGTGCCCTCCTCCCTATACCTGGAGGAAAGGAGCATCCTTATCCTCAAAGATAAAGGGACACCAAGAAGAATCCTAGCAGACAGGCCTTGCTAAGTTTCCCCTAGTTTAATGCAGTTACCTCATACTCCCTCACCTGTCAGACTCCTCCATGACTATCCCCTCTTCATCAAACCTAGAATAAAAATACATAGGTCTAACTGTCTCTTTGAGTCTTCATTTCCTTATGAAGGCTCTTGTGCCATGTATTATATTAAATAAATTTGTATCCTTTTCTCCTGTTAATCTGTCTTGTCAGTTTCATTTTCATACCCTAAAAGGATCAAGAAAAACGTTCCTCCTCTACACAATTAATCACAGGTTGTTAAATCTTCTTCAGGTTCTTCACATTGTACTTTTCCATTCTGTTTTTTTGCACCTGGAGTTCCCGCTGATGTATGAACTAATAGGTATAGATCAGGGGGCTCTGGATTATCAATTCCTAAATCTTCTAAATTCCTCTGCAAATTTCTCCCATTCATGTTTAGATCTTTGAAAGTAGGTAGCCATAGCTCTCAGCCCAGAATGAGACCAGGTCTTAAAATCAACCTTAAGGAGTTCTTCCCTTTTCTGAAGGAGGTTTAAATTTACGAGGTATTGAGCTTTTGAGGTTTCTGACCAGCTTGAGAGGTAGAGGAACAGTTCAGAGGGAGAGATAGGACAGAGGGAAATCGAAGAGCATAGAATGACAGATGAATAAAAGGAGAAAGGACTTGAGGTTTGAGTTGTGATTTGGGAAGATCTAAAAGAAAAAGTGTTTTAATTCATTTATGTTTTTCTTTTACCTTGGTCAAGGAATCTCTTAAACAGTTTTGGAATCGGAATTTCTTTTGGTAGATCACTGGGTATTTGAAATTTGCTCCTTTTTTCTTCTAAAATGTCCCTGAAATGAATAATTTTGTTATATCAAAAGCACAGTTGGTATTGCTTTCTTCTTTTTCTTAGGAACTTCTAATGGTCACTCATTACTTACAGATTAAAGCCTAGCACTGTAGGGGAGGAAATTTTTCCTTCTACCCTGCTAGATTCTTTGGCGGGTCTAATAGTCAAATTGACATAAGACAGATTAAAAGGAGAAAAACAAATTTCATTTTGTATGTACAGGAGCCCCACAAAAACGTGAGACTCAAGGACAACTCGGGCAGTTGAGGCTCATATGCTTTCCTGAGCTGAGGAATCAGATAGGAGACTGGAGATTCAGAGGAGAGGAGGAGAATTCACAGGATAATGGGAACAGCAGATGTTTGATAATTAGATGTTTGCACTGCCGTACAGATAGATCTTTTAGATGGTTAAGGGAGAGGTAAAAGTTTTTCTTGAATCTGCTGGATCTTTTTTTTTTTTTTTTTTGTGAGGAAGATCAGCCTTGAGCTAACATCTGCCAACCCTCCTCTTTTTTTTTTTTTTTTTCTGAGGAGGACTGGCCCTTGGCTAACACCCGTGCCATCTTCCTCTACTTTATATGGGACACCGCCGCAGCATGGCTTGACAAGTGGTGCATCGGTGTGCGCCCAGTGTCCGAACCGGTGAACCCCGGGCCGCCGCAGCGGAGCACGCGCACTTAACCGCTTGCACCACCGGGCCAGCCCCGAATCTGCTGGATCTTGATTGCCTTCAGCTCAAAATAATTACGTGTCGAAGTAGCATATTTTGGAGTCACATATTTTGTTCCCCTTCAGCATATTCTTAGTATAATCCTCAGGTTTATGAAATTTCCATAGTGTATACCTTCTTCCACGTGTTGTTTCCTCTGCTCATTCTGTGTTAAACATTTCTCTGTTGAAGAAGATGTCTTTCTAATTACTTCCTGAATCTTACCCTACCAAGTCATGGTGCTTATTAAAATGTACTTATTTCATGTTATATTTCCTAAGACCACATTTTTGCTAAACTTGTTATTGAGATAGAGTTGTGAGGTCAGTAGTATTGTCTTGGCCACTTTCCAGTTACTACTATATTTTCTTCTGGAAATTTGTCTTTCTTTTTCAGTACTAATTGTGTTTAGTAATAATAAGGTTCATGATTTTTTTTTACTTGAGTTTTTCTTCTTTCAACCCAAATTTCAGTTAAAGGCTTTCCTGATCAAATTGTAAAGCCTCCTGCAAAGCACATTCTTTTCAGGCTTTGTGATGTGTAATTTTTTTATCTTCATAGCCAATTGTCAGTCACAGATGGTAATACTACCTATGTCTTCCATTATCTTCTTAGGACTTGAAGTTATTAGAGAAATAATCTCGGTTACTTTTGGTGTCGTATTTTGTGCCTTTATCAAATCAGAAGAGATAGGTATGATGAGTGTTAGACAAAGGTATCCCCACATCCCATACCTTTCAATTAGCTATGTTAGATCTTCTTTCTCTTTCCAGAGGGTAAAAATCCTCCTATTATCTTTCTGTCTCCTACTCATAGTAAAAGAACTACAAAAATCTGCTGTCTTTTACTTTTGGAGCTGGAACCCTCCTTCAGAAGGTCTTTATTTATTCTTTAGTCCTAAACTCATAGTTAGGGCCAAATTTGGTGTATAGATAGTTTTGATCAGCATGTTGAGTTAAAAAATTTTGGAACTGGGATGCCTTTAGGTTCACCCCATCATTCCCTATGGTATTACACATTCAGAGGGATTGATTTCCTTTCCTAGTCTCATTTGTCCTGTTCCTTCATTGGCTCTGGTTTTGATTTATCTCCATCTTGTAATTTTATTTGCTTTCCATTTTCTTTTCTATGTTATTTCTTTGATTGTGTCAGAGAGCCTTTAACCTTTTCTAAGAAACCACTGCTAATGTTATTTCACATTATCTTCTTAGTAACATTTTAAAGTATATAAACGTGATTGATGGATGCCTCAGGTAGGAGTATAAGCAGGGCCCTTCCTACAGGGTCTTGGAGCAGTCGTTTCTCTGCGAGTTTATGCCCCTTCTGTCTCAGTTTCGAATAGTAGTCTTTTGTGGTCATGGCAAATGTTTGTTTCCAGTGCTTATTTGCCGTTATGCACATGGTTGAGTTCATGTTTCAGTAAAGGTACTTTAATTTGGAGCCTGTGTGTAGTACCAACAACCTTTAGCAAACACAAAAGCAACACATCAATTTCTGCATTGTAATTTCCCATAGTATTTAACCCATCTCCTGGCCTGTTTGTCTGGTTTGTTTGCTTCTTCTTGCTCTGTGGGCACTGTGTTGATGATATCCGAATTATGTATCATATGTATCAGGTTCTTATTGTCACAGAATTTCTTGTTTGGGGAGTAAGTGGAATTTTACTTGCCTGAATTAAGAAAAAATATGAATTCAGAGTATTTAAAAGTAAATGTAGATTATCCCTCAGCTATACAGAGTTCCTTAAACTAAAGTAACATTTTAATACCATGTAGAAATACTTAAGGAACTTAACAGAAACTGTGAGTATAATACAATTGTGAACTTAAAGCAATTTGAAGCGTTTTTAGGTTTATTTTTAAATTTATTTTTCTTTTGCAATCTGGTTTTCTACTCCTGATTTTTTTCCTGCATGTTGGTCACCATGCCTTTATTTACCTAACAGTCAGGTTTTCTGTAATTGAACTTTAAAAAAAAGTAGATCTTAATTTATCCCAATAAGATGACAAGAAATTGTTTGAAATAATTTTAAATGTGAGGCTTCTTTTAAAAAAATTTTTACAAAACTTTTTTAAAAACTATAATAAATATCATTTTTCCCTACAATTGATTCCTCTAATGAATATAAACAAAATTTCAATGTCTTTTAAAACTTTAATTAAATTGTTATGCATTTAAAAGAAATACGTTAGTGAGTTCAGTGTTTATGCAAATCGAACATCTACACTTTAACTACATCATCTTTTTTTGGAATGAGAAAGTTTGTTTTTATCTGGTGTACTATAATGTAAACACTTTTTCCATATTTCAAGTTTGTGTTTTAGGTTAAGTGAAAACAATCATTTAAATAGTGAGTTTTTTTTTTTTTTAATTGGGGACTACATTGATTTCTAAACCTTTTTTATCACAAGGAATTCTGAACATGCAGGATTGAACTTTGTCATGTAATAATTCTCAGACTAGAGAAACCTTTCCTGTTTCTGGCTTGGGGTAGTGTTTAGTTGTATTTTTAGTAACAGTCCTAACTCAGTAGCTATGTAAGCACTGAGCGAAGATGGAGTCACAGGGTAAACTGGGCTTGCTTCCCACAGGGAGGGCTGGGAGTTGAGCAGGAAGGAAGGCCTGTTTGTCAGTGCCTTGTATGCAACTATGTCTGAGTAGGCAGTCGGCGACACAATGTCTCCCTTGTACACGGTAACTGTCTTAGTGAGTGCTCAGATATGTGATGAAAAAGTGTTTGGGTAAGTGAAGGAGAAGCTTGGGGTGTTTCAAAGAGATTTTTTTCGTCTTTTTGTGGCATTTGGATTTCAGGGAGTGTACTGTTTGTTGCTGCAAAGTACTGGCTTTGTTTTCAGTGGTATTTTAGACTTTTTGAACAAGCTCTATTGCAGGCAGATTGAAGCGTCTTACTTTCTAAAACTGTGAGCTTAAAGCATTTGATTTGTTTGTGTTGAAAAGTTAATTTCTGCTTCTTAAAATCAGTGAAAATTAATTGTGGCCTTCATTTTTAGGAATAAGTTCTCTACTAGACTTAAAATCTTGTACTTTTTCTTATTTTCATTCTGAAGTCAGAACCAACTAGTGATAATAATGAAAATGACCTAAACTGATTACTGGTGTTTAAAATGTATGATGTCGATTTCAAGAATAATTTGTTTGTTTTAAAACAGTGGGACCATTGTTACTTAAGTGCCTGTGATATGGAAGTTTTATAGTTTACTTCAGTTTGAATAACATAAAGTTCAGTTTTCACCAAAACATTATTTCTGGTTATATTTCTTTTGGAAATCTTGATTTTGTGATTAGCTGACATAAATGACTGGTATTTTTAGAATATTACTTTCATATTTTGAGCAGCATTTCATTATCAACCTGTAAGTAGTTAACTTTTATGGAGTATGTACATATTTATAGTGTTTTGCTTTTGAATCTGTCTAGTGGAGTGTGACGATATGAACCGCTTTGACCGATCAGACAGGAATGTTCGGCAGTCTCAGGAGGGATTTTGGAAAAGGCCGACCCAGAGGTGGAGTGGACAGGAACATTACCACCTCAGCCATCCTGACCACTATCATCACCACGGGAAAAGTGACTTGAGCAGGTGCGTCTCCTTTAGATTACATTTTCTATCCTCTGATTAATTTTGAATCCTAATTCTCTCCCTACCCCTCAAAAACTGTGTGTTTTTTTGGTCTGGTTTTTAGAGGCACCAAAAAACATTTCAAGTTATGTGTGGTATTAATTGGAAAAATATGTTTAATTCTTTACTTTTGGTCCAAATCTTTTTTCATTAGCTTTATTATAAATATAAATATTTATGTCTGCTATTTGGACTGTAAGTTTTGGTGTGATTTGCTAGTTCTCATTTGGAAATGACTAAATGTTGACTTTATTAAAGTTTATTATTTTTTAAATAATAATGTATAAATTTAGTACCAAGTGATTTGTCTTCTTTTACTTATATAATAAATTGAAATTTAAGAATTCCTCAAGTACTATTAGGAACAGAAGAAGGTACTGTATAATGCTAGCATAGTCTTTAATTTGATCAGACTTTATGTGTAATATAGCTCTGTAGTAATTCACACCTGGGATCAAACCCTGGCCTGGCACAAATTAGCTTTGCGAGGTTCGATAATTCATTTAACCCCTCTCTACTTGAGTTTACCATCTGTAAAACATGGTTAATAATACCTTTCTCTCACTGTTCAAGGATCAGGGATAAGAGTGCCGGGAGCCGTATCTTGCTTACAGTAGGCACCTGGTTGTAGTTGTTATTCATTTTTTTTCTTTCTACACTCTCAATCCACTAGGGATTTGAGGTCATTTTGGAGCACATTAACAGTACAAATAATAAACTTGGGATAAAGAAATAATGGAAGAGAAATATATGGCCCCATATAGTTCTTAAAGTAAGAAAAAAAATTTGTTCTAAGATTCCTTGCAGCAAAAGCAAAGAACAAAACTTGATCCTTTACAAGATTTCTAGTGTGCATAAGATAAAGGATATGTTTCTTCCAAATTGATTTGCTTTTATGAGATGGAAACCTGAAAGAGGTTGCTTTGCATGAGTTCTTATAGAGAGAGTACCTTGTGGTATAGTGGACAAGTCTCAGACGGCTTCCCAAAGTAGAAATAATGATAAATTCCTTGTCTGTTTCTTACTTATATTCTTCATTGCAAGCTACAAGAACTCTAGTCCATGTAAGAAAAGGCAGGTCTGCAGTGGGTCATGAAATGATGAGGTCCAGCTAAAGATCCTTCTGTTGGTGTAATTTGATGCAAGGATAAAATTTAGAAGGTCTGGAAGAATGCACGGGGCACATAACCTTCTGGGCATTATTTTGGCTATTCTGTTTCTCATATCTGGGCTTTTGATAAGGAATGGACATCAGAGAGTTGGTATTATTAGTCAAGAATCTGATATAAAGATAGTTTTCATTGCTAATAATGAAGATTATGCTTCCCTCATCTTTGATGGTTGGTTTATAAGAAGATAAATTTAATGCCAAGTTAAGAAAATTTAGAAGCCTAACTAAAACATGAACCATTGCTTATACTCCAGATAAGATTTATTCCTCTATTTAACAAATATTTGTTAAGAACCTGTATGTTGAATCCTGTGCTAAATTCTGAAGCTGGGGTAAATATGGAGATGGTGTGAGAGGTGAAAGCTGTGGATTGATAGTGGCTTCTTGGAGCATTATTTTGAGGACGATAAAAAGAATTATGTAGTCTGTGAGCTCAGTTGGAATCATTGCAATTACTGGCTAGGTAGAAGATTCGTGTGCCTCTTCCATTCTGTACAAAGAAGAGTAGTAGATACTTCCTGCTTCCAGGATGCTCAGAGTCTGTGGGAGAGATAGGCATGCAGATAGTTGCAATGTGGTGTTAGTGCAAAGCAATGATGATGGGTGCCTCAGTAAAGTGATGTATATAGGACTCCAGGAACATGCAGCAACTGTTTTTTGTCTAGAATAGTGGTGTATAAAGGAAGTTATTATTGAACTGATAAGTATGACTGTAGAGATTGCAGAGGAGTGGTTTCTCGAGGAGGAGGATGAGTATTCAGATGGAAGAAATAGCATGTGGAAAATCATGTAGGAAATGGTATGGCATTTTCAGACAACTACTCTAAGTTCATAGCTGGATTGGCTAGGTCATTTGGAGGAACGAATAGATATGATCTGTAACTCGGGATAGCAAAACGTCTATGCATTTTAAGATAAAAGGTGGCAAATTTCAGCTTGAAGTGAGCCTATTAATCAGACTTTTCAAAATGGAAGGAATTACTTAGAGATAGTCATCTCTGTCCTGGGAATGATCAAGCTGAGGCTGATTAGTTTTCTGTCAGAAAAGCTAAGCAACATTTTCCAAAAACTCTGTTTCTGGATGTCAGTAGGTGCAGAAAAGAGAGATTCTCTGATCAAATACGTATGGGAACAAACTTACTTGAGTTTTTTTAAATAGTGGACTCCACAGGACCTTTAGTATATAAATATAGTACTGATTTTGCAACAGATGGTAGGATAGAATATGTAGCTATTTCCCAAAACATATGACTACAAATCCCTTCTACACCATTTATTTTGAGGGACTAGTGACTTGTGGATCATCCACACTGGTGATTCTCAATGAGAAGAGAGAAATGCACAGCATTCTTGGAGGTTGCTAATCTGACTTACTTAGGGCAGAACTTCCCAACAAGTGGGCTGAGGCACACCAGTTTGTTGTGACTAGTTATAGGTTAACCAGTTTATTGATCCCCTCAGGCTTTGGGGTGGCTGTGTGGGGTTTGAGACATCTAGATCCCCAAAGCCAGTTATGGGAATGGGTGGTAGAGAGAGAAACCTCATCCAAGACAAGCCTTAGCCCAGCATACCTTAAAACTATCATTTTCTCTCTGTGCCTTCATATTAAAAAGGTTTGGATGCACTAACCACAGGGCCTTTTTAATGTTACATGTGTAAAAAGTCCCTCATCCCATTCTATAGCTTCTCGAATGTTGGTTCTTTTTCCTGTCTGTCCTTCATCTCCCATCGTTTAGTTAATTAGAGAATTATGTCTTATCCATAACTCAGAAGACTGGTGGTTGAGAACCATTGATCTGCTTTCTCTATATTTTCATCATAATACTGCTCTCTCTTTTCCCCTGGCCTAACCTTCCACTCCTCTTTTCTCCCCAGACCTCCCTATTTCCCTAGACCTTCCACTTTGCTATATGGAATTCTCTTACGTACTAACAAACTCACATCCTTGACCTCTTCGCCTGCATTCTCCTGGACATAGCTGAAATCTAAGTTTTTCCTAAATGTACTAATTTTCCAGTAGCATTCTTTCATGAAGAAGTGTTATTTTTCCAGTCACTCTAGTACTTTACTGTTTAGAGGTGGGGTCTTTTTTTTCACTTCTCATTGTCATTTCTAAATGAAGTATTCTTATGTCTCTATCACTTGAGACTTAGAGCATTTGACTGTATCAGCTCCTACCTCACAAAAATCTTGGCCCTCAGCTCACTTTCCCTCTTCATCGTAAGCTTTGCTACAATCCTCAATGGCTCCACTATTCATGTACGTGATTCATTTAACTCTCTGGCTCTCTAGTTCCTTAGGATTCTCTATATACAAGATCATATCATCTGAAAACAGAGATAATTTTACTTTATTCTTTCCAATCTGAATACTTTTCTTTTTTTCTCCTACATAGTTGCTATGGCTAGAGCCTCCAGTGCAGTGTTGAATAGGAGTGGTGAGAGCAGACGTCTGTGTCTTGTTTTTGATGTCAGGAGCAAAGCTTTGAGTCTTTCAATGTTAAGTATGATGTTAACTGTGGGTTTTTCGTAGATACTCTTTATCAGTTTGAGGAAGTTCCCTTCTGCTTATATTTTGTTGAGTGTTTTTTATCATGAAAGGGTATTGGATTCTGTCAAATGCTATTTCTGTGTCTATTGAGATAATCATTTTTTTCCCTTCGGTCTCTTAATGTGGTATATGACGTTGACTGATTTTTAGATGTTAAACCAGCCTTGTATTTCTCAGGTAAATCGTACTTGGTCATGGTATATAAACCTTTTATATGTTGCTAGATTCAATTTGCTAGTATTTTGTTGAGGATTTTTGAGTATATATTCATAAGAACTATTGGTTGATAGTTTTCTTGAGATATATTTGCTATTATGATTACATAGATTGAATTGGAAAGTGTTCCTTTTGTTTCTATTTTTTGAAGAGTTTGTGAAGGATTTTTGTTAATTCTTCATTGAACGTTTTATAGAATGCACCAGTGAAGTTATTTTGGCCTGGGCTTTTCTTTGTGGCAAGTTTTTTGATTACTAATTTAATCTCTATAGATGTTCTACAGATATTTGTTAGTTTTTATTAGTTTGTAGTGTTGTTTAAGTCTTCTGTTTCCTTGATGATCTTCTTCCTAGTTGCTCTATCCATTAGTAAGAAGGAGGTATTGAAGTATCCAACTTCAATGTGTCTTGTAGAGAAGGTCTGATAGCAACAGATTCTCTCAGTTTTTGTTTATCTGGGAATGTTTTAATTTCTCTTTTATTTTGAAGGATAGTTTTGCTGGCTATAGAATTCTTGGTTGAAAGTCTTCCTTTTAACATTTTGACTCCCATGCTTTCTGATGAAAAATCAGCTGTTAATCTTATTGAGCATGTCTTCTACATGATAAGTCACAAGTCACGTTTTTCTTGCTGTGTTCAGGATTCTCATTTTTTCTTTGTCTTTCGACAGTTTAACTATGATATGTCTCTCCTCAAGTTTATCATATTTTGGAGTTTGTTGAGCTAACGGTTAGATAGCAGTTTCCTTAGATGCCTTGAACCGATAAGTCTTCCAGCCTTTGCCAAGGAGCTGTGTGTGTGTGTGTGTGTGTCTGTCTGTGTGTGTGTGTGTGTGTGTTCAGGGATGAATTCAACAACCTAGTAAGCATTTGCAGCTCTGCCTTGGCCTTAGTTTCCTGCTTGCTCCAAGGCTCAAGGTCAGCCAAAGGTGAGAGATGAAGGCCTTCTCAGGTACTTCCTTGGCATGCACACAGCCCTTGTGTGTGGCCTTCTCTATGCCCAAGAATATGGTAGAGCATTTCAAA